AGACAGAGTCTTACTCTGTTTCCCTGAATAGAGTGGTTTGGCGTCATACCTTACAGCAACCTCAAATTCTTGGACCCAAGCAATCCTCTTGCCTCAGTCTGCCCACTAGCTGGGACCATAGGCATCTGCCACAATGCCTGTCTAATTTTTCTATTTTTACTAGAAACAGGGTCTTGCTCTTGGCTCAGGTTGATCTCAAACTCCTGAGCTCAGGAAATTCACCCGGCTCAGCCTCTCAGAGTGCTAGGATTATAGGTGTGAGCCACCACGCCCAGCCTGGCATGTAATTCCTTGACTGAGTAGAGACTCTATAATCAGGAAACAGGCAGGCATGCAATCTATAGGGAATAGGGTAATGGAAGTTTTGATAAGATAGGGATTCCTGCTGTTTCACTGTAGGGATGAACAAGAAAAAAATCATTCAAAAAGCTAGATGAGCACAGAGGATTTTGGGGGGTGGTGAAAATATTCTGTATGCTTTGATAATGGTGGATATATATCATTGTATACTTGTCCAACGCCCTCGAGTACACAACACCAAGAGTGAACACTAACGTAGACTATGAACTTTGGGTGATGATGTGTCAAGGTAGGTTTGTCAGTTGTAACAAAGTATCATTCTGGTTGGGACATTGATAATGGGGAAATCTATGCATATGTGAGGACTGGGGGTATGTGGGTATCTCTGTACCTTTCTCTTAGTTTTGCTGTGAACCTAAAATTGCTCTTAAAAATAGTCTTAAAAAAATTAAAAAGAAGAAACACACCTTAGCGAAGGTAACACTTTGCAGTTTGTTGTCATTACTTATTCTTTGCAGTGAGAAATTAGCTTTTCTGCTAAAATGAATGATTAGCTTTTTTAAAAATTTTTCTTACTTATACGTGTGTATATTAGGTTTCCACTTTTGCCTTTACAGAATTAAAAAGGCTAAATTTAATGACAATAACAATATTTAACATTAATGTTAATAATAACAATATATTAATAACATAAGGACTGAGAACAAAAACCTGATAAAGAAGGAATGAAAGTAAATACATTTAGAAAAGAAATCAGATGATTGCTGCAACAAAATATTAAGCAATAATAATAGTAATAATGCAAAGAAAGTAACATTCACGTTGTCGGATAGGAGTATGTCTATTATAGAATACTTTGATCCGTTAACTACTTCTTCTTAGTTTGTTTTTTTCAAAGTCTCAAAAAAAATAGACAACTAATATTTATAAACAAAAGTAAAAGATAATTTCAAAAAAACAGATCATGCCAAATCTT